CCTAAGGTGCTTGCTAGGACACCTATATTACTGGTAGCACTGTGGTGGCTGGTGTAATCAAGGTCTTCAGTGAAACAGGCACCCCTCTCAAAAGCTGTATTTTGATACTTTTAGTTACTGCTGCCCCATCCAGACTAGATCCTGTAATTAGAGCATGAGCCGTCCCCATCTGCTGCAGGAAACTAAAACCTTCTGCCTGGAACATCAGCTTCTGAGGGATGGCACTAATTCATCAATGTCTGAAGTGCTGTTAAAGCTGCTGCACACAGCCCTTGATACAGCATGGGGGTGGCAATGTCCTGCCAAACAGGACCCCTGACCTCACTCTGTCCCTGAGCACATCCCCGATATAGCTGGTCCTTACTGCCTATAGGACTTAATAGATTTTTGCACCAATTAATAAGTGGACCGACACAGCCCCGCTATTCCAAGCTCACAAAATCCTTATCAGTTTGTCTTCTCCTCTCTTCTGCTGACAGATCTCCAAAAATTACATTTTGGAGTATAAGTGCACTGCTCCATCTAGCAGATCCCTCTGCCCCTCCATTTGTATGAGGGGTTGTGCTTCTACCCCCTCCCTTCCTGCTGAATCTGGCTAAAGCTGAGCCTTGGAGTCTGAGGACTCACTCAAGATATTTCCATCCCGTTCCTCAGGATCCTGTGAATACGATTGGGAAATCAAAATCTTATTTTTCCCATATCAGTGCCTTTGCTTGTGAGCAATGTGTGCCACCACATATTGCTGTTCTACACTGCATTGCTGCTCATAGCACCACTGTGCTGGAGTATAATCAGATGTTGTGTGATTGCCTTTGCATCTTGTAAAGTCCTGGCTTCCCTTTCCAACGCTCACATTGCTCTGCAAGGCTGTAACTCCATGGTCCAAATCTCCAAGAAGCAGCTAGCAGCCATCTCCACCTCCCCACTGACTTGCAAGAAGGCTTTGGTACCCTTCCAGAGGGCACACAGAGTAAATATCGTGCTCTGGAGCTCTAAGAAGAGACAAAGGAAGTTGCAGCCCATGGCTACAGCTGATCCATACCTTATCCACAGCTTTGGATCATGGTGTTTATGGGAAATGTGGATCTGTTGCTCTTTGAAGTGCATCAAAGCACTGGCACCTGAGGATTCACGGCCCTGCACCCATCTCCACACAGGCACAAAGAAAACAAACACCCAACTCTGGGTGTGGATCAGCTCCTGGCACACTGTGGGAAGGAACCCGCTTGGGGACCTTGTGGGGACCCAGATGGGGTGGCCATGAGGTCTTGCCTGGATCATCCTGCTGCCCCTGGAGAAGCAGAGCAGACAGGACTCCAGCGGGCACCAGGCAGGTGATCAGGGACTCCAAAGCTGCTTCAGCATCGTGGCAGTGAGCAAATCCAAAGGGAAATGCTCCGGGGATATTCAAGCAAGGATGGATGGATGGATGGATAGATGGATGGATGGAATTATTGGATTGGTAAGTGCACTGTTGTTCCTTTTCCATATTGCTTCTACAAAAGGTGTAGATTTATCAGTGTAACTGATCAGTGGATCAACCTCCATGTCAGTCACAAGGAAACACTGGGCAGTGGGCCTTGATCAATCAGTGGCATGGAAGCAGTGTAACTACTTAAGGACCAAACTTTTTTACTGAGGAAGAAAAAAAGAATGGTGTTAGAGAAGGAGGAAGAAGAGGAATGGGCTGGAGATTCAGAGGTCTTTGCCTGAATGTGCTATTTGTTGACAGAAGGCCTCATTATAAGAGGTAAATATTATGATGATGGAGGATTTTGGCAGTGAGGCAAGGGGATGCCCAGTTGATACTCTGGTTCCAGTAAAGCTGGGGAATGGAGCCACATCTTCAGAAGTAACTGGCTGCAAGGGCCTGCTGAGGAAAGTTGCAGTACAGATTGTTGGGGCTGCAGGAAAATGAGCTTTGTAGCCACTCCTACCACCCATGGCATGTACAGCTGGTGACACTAAAACAACTAATCCGTTTCTACATATGCCATCAATGACCCCTTCCCTTGCTGGGATGAGATACGTTTTGTAATTTAAATGCACCAAATCTTAAATCTTTTCTGAGAATACCTTGCAGCTTCACATTCCACTTGAGACAGTCTGGAAAGCTCAGGTCTGCCTGTTAATGTGTAAACCATCAGAGGGCATTGGAGAAAATGTTCTGGATGCCATTTGAAATGCAGTGATCCGCATGGGCCACAGGAAAATGAGGTAAAACAGAGAATGTGTCTCCAGTTAAGAGAAAAAGCTCAGAACCAAAAGTTAAACCCTTAAGAATGAATAAATATCCTGTATAGACAGAAGCACAGAAAGGTCTGGAACCATGGACATACACATTCTTACAATTTGGCATACTCAGACAATGCCAACCTGAGTTTTAGATGCCTTCCTCCAGGTTTCAAAGAAGCCTTGCTCTCAAGAGTGCAGATTAGTACAAGTTTAAGAGTAATCAATCAAACATGCACAGATATACACCCAAGTGTACCAAATCCTTATGGCTTGTTAACCTCAGTGCTGGAAACAAACTCTTATTTTACTGTTTTGGCCTTAAACGATACTTTCTCTCAATAGAAAGCATCCCAATAGATGAGCAAAGCCAATTTTTGAATTGAAAGAATCCTGTGGCTGGAAGAAAGATGCAGTTGGACAGTGTTCCCTCAAGGATTCAAAGATAAGCCCACTTTATTTGGTGGTTTTGGCAAAAGAAGTAGAGAAATGGAAAAAAGGTAGCAGTGTTCTTTTACAGTGCGTAGATGACATCCTAATTGGAGCTGACGAGGAACAAACCTGCTTGAAAGTGACCATAAGCCTGTAGAACTTTTTGGGACTTGCTGGGATTTCCAGAAAAAAAGGTAAGACTAATATCTTAGCTTTAAGGTATAAAAAGGACAGTGAGCTCTGGGAGAAGGAAAAAAGTAATGATATTCCAAATTGCAGCTCCTAGGACTAAAAGATAACTAACAGGAGTTTTGTTAGTGGCAGAATTTTGCCCCACACAGGTTCAAAATTTTGGACTAATAGCCAACCCCTTTCATTTGGCAGTCAAAGGCCCTGAAGAATTCCTGGAATGGCCCTGACAATGTTGAACTGGTTTTAACACCATAAGGGATGCCCATGGAAGCACCAGCTTCAGGCCTTCCAGATACAACTAAACTCTTTTCATGATGTGTGCACAAAAGGCAACAAGTAGCCTCCATGGGGATGACACAGCTTCTTGGAAGTTGGCAAAAGCCAGTGGCATCCTTCTCCAAGCAACTGGATGGTCAGCATGCTTATGGGCCATAGCAGCCACCACTCTAACAATGCAGGAGGCCCAGAAATTCACTTTGGGATGATCTCTGACTGTGCTAGTCCCATGTGCTATTGCTGGATCTTTGGAATCCAGAGGGACATCACTGGATCTCTCTAAGCTGACTGGCAAAATACCAAGCTGTGCTAATGGACCAGGGAGAGAAGTAGTCATGTGTGTGACATCAACTTCAAATGAAGTCATTTTGCTCCTTACTGAAAAGCAAGGACCTTTTCCATGTGACTGGCTGCACACCGTGGAGCAGTCAAGATGCCAAGATTTAAGGGATGAACCTTTGCAGGAACCAGGCAAAAACTGTATGTTGATGGCAGCAAGTTTGGGAATACAGGTAAGTTAGCCCTGGTGGGATGGAAGAGATCAGTGGTATCTCTGAGGGTCTGTGTCAAGGCCCCCCAGGATGGTATTGACCCACAGAGCATCACCCTGTGCCCACAAGTCTCCTGCCCCCACCAGCTTCTTGGGCTGTGGAGCAGCCGGGTTTCAGCACCTGCATCACACCCAGCTGCCAAGGTAGCTCTCCCCACAGTTTGGGGACCCCCTCCCCAGAAAATTCCCCATTCCCCCCTGACAGCCCCATTTTCCACAGGGCTGTATTGCAGCGAGTGCTACAGAACCCTGAACAACACCTGCTCCGTCTGCATGGCCCCCCTGAGCTACCCCGACACTGGGGATGAGGAGCTGTGAGCAGAGGGGCGCTGGGGGGCTGCAGTGGGTGTGCAGGGGGGCTGCAGCTCAGCCCTGCCCTCTGTGCCCCCGCAGGGACTCGAGTGACGAGGAGGAGACAGCGGGGTTGCGGCCGGGCGCTGCGCGGGCGCTGCGGGGCCAGGAGCGAGGGCGGCGGCTGCTGCAGCGCATCAGGGACCTGATCAAGGACATGATCAAGGGCCGGGGGCTCCCCTCCAGAACGGCTGCCCAGCTGTGAGCCCAGCTGGAGGAGGTGAAAAAGAGTGAGGAGAGCGATGTGGGCAGTGGTGGGGGTCTACAAGAACAGACTGCTCTGCAGGCGAGGGCTGGCTGTGGGGTGGCAATGCCCCCTGTCCGCCCCAGCTCTGGGGATGCTGGATGCCAACGCTGCACTCCTCTCTCCCAGCAAGACTTCAGCTACCAGCAGCAGGCCAAGAACAGTGAAAGCGAGGGCAAGGGCCCAGTGACAGCTGGACAGTGCCATGGGACAGCAAAACCACGGGTCCAGGTGCTGGGATGTGCCTGGAGCCCCACCAGTGCAGCAGAAGCTGAGAGCCACTGGGTGGGGAAGGGCTGGTGAATAAATCACCTGGTCCTCAAGGCACCTGAGTCCTGGTACTCTCAGCTGGCATCCACCATCCCGTGATGGTCCTGACCTTGTGATACCCCAGCTCCTTGCTGCCCTGGCTGCATCCCTGCTGTGACCCCAGCCTCTCAATGCCCACCAGTCCCCATCTATAGCACCTGGGTGTCACCATCTCCATGCCCACTGTGCCTCCAGCCCCTACACATCCCTTTTCCCAGCCTTTATGGTGTTCCTATTCCCCTCCCTGTAGTATCCCCACCCCTCAGTGTCCCCAGCCCACACACGGTGCCTGCTCCCCATCCCTGCAGTGTCCCAGACTCTCAACGTCCCGGTCCCCAGCCCCACAGTGCCCCCAGTCCCGAGCTGCTCCAGGGCGGGGATGCAGAATGGACAGACAGCTGGACACGGGGGAAGTCCCTGCTTCTCCGTTTATTACCAAGCAGCCTTCGTTTAAAAAAAAAAAACAAAAAAACAAACAGACATACAGACAGGCAGAGGCGGCCCGGCGGGGCGGGGGCCGCCCGCCCATGGTTTGTTTGGTTCCTGACACCAGAGAGGTTCAAGTAGCCGAAAAGGTTCAAGTTCACCATAAGGCACTTTAAAGCCATGACGGGAGCAGAGCCCCCCCGGCCCCATCACCCCTCCCGGCACCCCATGGCAGAGGCCGGGCAGCGCTGGTGGTTGGCAGCGGAGGGGCTGTGGGGGGGAATATATTACATCATCTTTTTAAATATAGATAAAACTCTTATTTGTAGACAAATAGTGCCGGTCCCCTCCACCCCCGGGGAGGCTGCGCCCTGCGGGGGGCATGTGCAAAGGACAGAGGGGTGACCGTGGGGGCCCGGCCACCCCAGGGAAGGGGGGGGTCCCACAGGGCCGGGGGATTTAGGAAGGGGAAAGGGTCCGGGGGGGGCCGGGGCTGCCCCACACCCGGGTGGGCTCACCCGAATAGTGCAACCAAGAGAAAGCAGCCGGGAGTGCAGGGGCGAGGGGAGCTCGCCGGGGGGGGGCTGCTTGGAGTGGGGAGGTGGGGACAAGCTATGCACAGCGTAGGGCAGTGCCCCCCCCCACTGGAGAGGATGGGGGGGCTCTCCCCACCTGGGGGGGGCCTTGGTCCATGGGTGCCCCTGCCCGGTCCTGGCATCCACGAGGGGTTTGGTGGGGGGACATCCAAGTCCCAATCCCCCCACCACCCGCCTGGGCATGACCAGGTGGGCCCGGGCACGGTGGGGGGTGGTAGGGGCCCCCCACCCCCTTGTGCAAATCGGCCGAGGGGAGTTTCCCCCTTTGCATAACTAGGAATGAACCGTGACGGGAAAAACAGGAACAGAAACCCCAGTGGGCACGGCACAGCTCGGCATGGAACGGCACGACACCTGCCGCTGCATCGGCCCTATGCCATCTCCACCGGCACAGTGCCATCTGGCTGTGGCCCTTCCTCACCCTCCGGCTCCTCTTCCTCCTCCTCGGGCTGCCCTGGAGCCCAGTAGCGGGCAATGGAGAGGCGCAGCCCCTCCAGCCGCCCGTTGGAGAGGTCGAGGCCCGGGGGCCCCGCGGGCGGCGGCGGCGGCTCATCGCGGCGGCGGCGGCGGGTCCGCACCTCCAGGCAGTTCTGGCCCTTCAGGTGCCTCTGGAGGTGGTCGTCCTTGGCGAAGGCCTTGTGGCAGAGGTAGCACTCGTAGGGCCGGGCGCCTGTGTGCAGGTGCATGTGGTTCTTCAGGTCGTAGCTGTGCAGGAAGCGGGCGCTGCAGTGCTGGCAGGAGTAGGGCCGCTCACCTGTGTGCTTGCGCATATGGATCTTCAGTTTGTCGTTCCTGGAGGTGGGACACACAGGGAGACATTGGCATTGAGTAGCATCTTCTCGTTGTCATAATCATGTAATGAGACTGATGCTGGAAAATAAAACAGCTCAAGACACGTTCCTAGCGGTCCCGTCCCATTTGTGATTTGTACAAAGACCCGCAGCCAGAGATAGGCAATGGTGCTGGAAACCCGGGAGATAGGCAATGGTGCTGGAAACCCAGGAGATAGATAGGCAATGGTGCTGGAAACCCGGGAGCAGGGATGCTCTGCAGGGCACAGGGCTCTGGGTGCCTGGCAGGGCAGGGGCCATCGTACGGCTGTATGGCTGAGATGCAGCTGGCTGCTGGCAGGGGGGATGCTGCTGGCTACCCCAGGCTGCTCTGGCAGAGCTAACATAGTGCAGAAAACTCCCCTGGACCTGCACCACAACCATGACAGATGTGGTGCTATGAGTGCCATCAGGTATCAGGCCTTGGGTGATCTGGCAGCACTCAGGGTGCAGAACACCCCACTGACCTGACTTCACCAGCAGCTATGGCAGAGGGACACCACCAGGGATGCCACTGGGTACCTTAGGTCAGTCCAGCAGCACTCATGAGGTGCAGAAGGCCCCATAACCCCACTGCACCACAACAGAACTTGCAAGGGGTGCCACAGAGGATGCCATTGGCTACCCTGTGTTGGTCCAGAGCACTCATGAGGTGCAGAAGACCCTCTGAATGTGCACCACACTGGCAGGACTGGCAGAGGGGTGCTGTGTGCCATCAGGTAGCCCAGTTTGCTCTGGCAGCACTCAGGGGGTGCAGAAAACCCCATGAAACACGCTAGGCCTGTGGCCAGGCCCTGGTAGGACTGGCATAGTGGGGGTGCCACAGGGGATGTCATTTGGTACACGTCAGGCGGGGAGAGCCCGTCCAGCAGCACTCACCGTGTGAATCGGACTCCGCAGACCTGGCAGGCAAAGGGCTTCTCGCCCGTGTGTGTGCGCATGTGGCGAGGCAGCTTGCCGGCGCCATGGATGACCTTGTGGCAGACGGGGCACTCCTGGGGCATCTGTGAGCGGCGCTTGCGCACCAGCTTGTCGGGGCTATCCAGCCCAGGCGCCAGCGACTCGTGGTGCAGCGAGCTCAGATACGCCATCAGGTCGGGGTCGATGGCGTCATCGTCAGAAGCTGCCTCCTCAGGGGACAAGGGGGGCTGGTAGGGGAAGGGAAAGGGGTGTGGGGGCAGCTCCTCCTCCTCAGGCAGCTCAAAGCTGTCGTAGGGCAGGGACAGCCCCTCGGGCAGAGGCGGCGAGGGCAGCTGGGAGGGCGGCGGGGGGCTGCCGGAGCCCTCAGCCTCAGCGGGCGGCTCCTCGGCGTGGTTGTTGAGCTGGGCACCACGGGCTTGCAGGAACTTGCGGGTCTTCTTGCTGCGGCGGGCGGTGGGGCGGGGGGGCGGGGGGGTGGCGGGGCAGGCACCTCACCCTCGGGGAGGGTGGAGAAAGCCTCCAGGTAGCGGCGGGCACGTTCGCAGTCGCCGTCATCGGGGCCGGGTGCCTCCAGCCCGCTGCCCTGCAGGATCTCCACGCAGGCAGCGATGACACAGGGGATCTCCAGCAGCCGGGCAGCACGAAGCACCTCGCCCATGTTGGCGCTGCTGATGGTCAGCGTGGCTGTGTAGGCAAACTCCAGCAGCGCACCCAGTGCCTCTGGCCCCACAAAGTCCAGCTCACAGACCTCCTGCCCCGGCCCCGGCCCTGCAAAGAGCTTCTTGAAATAGCGGCTGGAGGCAGCCAGGACGGCACGGTGGGTGCGGTACTCCAGCCCCTGCGTCTTGATGGTGACGTCGCAGAGCAGCCCCAGCTGCCGTTGCTCGTTCAGGCAGCTCAGCAGCTCGCTGCTGTGCTCAGGGAAGGGGATGCCGATGAGGTCGTCCTCTGGGCTGGCCATCGTCCTCACCTGCAGGAAGGATAGGATGCTGCTTGACTGACAGAGGAACAAGCTGGGAGAGAGCACTTGGAAGAAACACTGCAGCTGGAGCATCACTGTCATGAAGCCAGGGCACAAGGAAGGCTCCCTGTACGTGCTGGGTGGCACTGGGGTTTCAGTGGGACACTAAACTGGGGCAGGCTTGGGGCCCAGCTCTGTGCTCAGCTCCCTCCACGCTATGTGAAGGCTGGCGGGCGCAGGCCCCCCACCACAGGCCTCCACGCTTCCTCCACTACCACCAGCACCCAGCCGCCCGCGCCGCCACAGCAAAGGGAGAAATCTCAGCGTGGTGCCTTTGAACAGCAGCGAGGTGCAGCACTTCCTGCGCCAGCCCACCCACAATCCCCCCAGCCCACCGCCACGGCCAGGCGCAGCCACTGGCTCCCAGCAACCTCGTCCTGGGAACATGGGCCTCACTGGCAGCAGGCACAGGTGGGCGGGCGAATGCTGGGAAGAGCACCCTGAGGGCCGGGGGCCGCCCCGTGGAGCCCAGCTGGGCTGGGAACAGGGGCCACACTTCCTGCCACGGCAGATTAGGATCAGCACCTGTGCCACCGGTTCCTGCCCCCGCTCCTGGTCGGGACTGGGCCCCCTCCCTCCCCCTGTGCCCCAGCCCGGGGCCACTCCTCGCCCAGCCAAGCCCAGCCTGCGCCAGTCAGGCCTTTCCCACGCTGCAGCTGGCAGAGCTTGGCCTCAGCCCTAAACCCAGCGCTGCTCACACTCCCACTGTGGTCCCCATGGTGCACCACCAGGGACCCACGTGTTCCTGTGGAGCCAGCACAGGTGGGAAGGGGGAGCCCATGACCCTCACAACCTGTAGGCAGGCTGCAGGCAGCAGTGGCAGCTCCGGGGCTGCAGCCTGCCCTGTGACACCATGCCCGGCTATGGCCCTTGCAGCCAGCCAGACTGCTGGGTGACACTGGCACTGCTGGGTGACAGTGGAATGGGAGTCGAGCAACTGCAGCCTGTGGGAGGCAGAGGCGGGTACCTCCTCTGGGTTGTGGCTCTCGATGCTGCCAGAGCTGTGCCACGCCAAGCCGAGCCATGGTGGACAGCGGCATGTGGCACTGGCCATCGCCAAGCCGTGCCAGGCAACGCTGAGCCATGCCAGGCCCATCCACCCCAAACCCACCAGGCCGTGCCAAACCACACTGTGCCGTCGGCAGGCGGGCGTGGGGGACGTGCCCCCTCTTGCCCATGGAGGGGCGGCGCGGGCGACGGCCCCCGGCACAGGGGCCCATCCCCAAGCCGGCCGCTCCCTGCGCTTGGGCGGCTGCCAGCTGGGGCTGCCTCGGCAGGCAGCTGGGAACGGCCCCGGAGCAACCGGCTGTGGAGCCGCCCCAGCCGCTGCCGAGCAGGCCCGACCGGCAGGGCAGGCAGCAGCCGCCCCTGAAACTGGGAGCCAGGCAGTGCCGACCGCCTGGGATGCTGGCGCCAGCACCCACGGCCAAGCCCCCCTCCCTGGCAGGAGCCCATCCCACCACCGGTTGAGGTCCCCTCTGCCTGCCGAGGTGGGGGTGATCGGATTAGGGGTGATTAAACCATCAGGGCCCTGGGAGCCAACAGGCAGTGACAGCCCCCAGTGGGATTAGGCAGGATTAGCTGCTGGGGCAGGATTAAGCAGGGGGGCAAGTACCCCCTGCCACAGCTTGGGCAGCTGGAGAGGGATGACAGGGATGGGGCACCTGCCAGTGCCCCACGGACCCCCAGGACTGTCCCAGGATAAGGTGGCACTGTGTCCTCCAACACTGCCTCCTCCAGCGTTGGCACCAGGACAGCCTCCCTTCTGCCCTGGTCCCCACAGCACCTCCAGCCCCACAAGACATCTGGGCACAGGGCACTCACAAGACTGATGGCACCCACTGGCACGTGCCCATGGGGGTGTCTGGGCACAGGGTAGCAGCTGAGACCCCATCATATCCCAGCAGGGTGCTCTGAGGGACGGGCACGGGCACCAGCCCCATCATGTCCCAGTGCAGATGGACACAGCCTCAGTGCTGCCAATGTCACAGAAATTACCGGCAGAGGTATGGTAAGGGAGTTGGGACCCCTGTGAGCAGCCACAGGACTCAGTGCCACCAGACATAGCTGCAGGGCTGGGGCAGGGTGGGGGCGAGGCGGCGGTGACAGGAGGGGGATTTTCCATCGCACCAAACCGCCCCTTACGGCTGACACCCCCACCCCCCGCACATCCTCCTCACTGGAGCGAAGTCACATGCTGAGCGGGTGCTGCCGTCGAGGAGATCACCGCAGTGATAAGGAAATGGCAGAGGATGAGGTGTGAGGGGACCGGAGCCGCCCCCGGCCCCCAGCATTCCCTGGCTGCTGCTGGAGATGATGGCTGGGAGGACGCAGTGGTGATGCCCATGGCCTCGCCACGCCAGAGCTTTCTTGGTTACCTCAATGCTGTGGCTGGGCACATTTCGGCTGAAGCAGGGGACTGAGGAAAGGAAAGGGGGAGTTGCTCCCCGTGCTGAGCTGGCTCCCATGCAGGGCGGGTGGCAGCAGGAACAATGTCTGCCCAGGTCACCCTGACATGCCTCTGCCAGCCCAGGCTGCCTGGGACAACCATGGCCAGGCTCCACCTACCCACCAGCTCCCTCCGTCCCAGGGGTCCAGCCACCCAGGCAGGGCCACGGGCAGCGGGGTGGAGCCCCTGCAGCACCCCTCCCACATGGGGACAGGCCGTGTCCCATGCCACCAAGCAGGCATGGCACCCTGGGTGAGGGCACAATGCCAGCCTGCGCTGAGCACTGGGCCCGGCTTGGGGATACTGGGAGGTGTGAGGTGGAAAAGGGTGTCTAGGGGGGATCTCCCAACCTCTTCCCCATGGGGAAGGAGAGCAGAGGTCCCGGGGAGCACGGTCCCCACCCTGGGCTGCTGCCAAGTGCCCCTGCTTTCGGTCACAAGAGTCACAAATGCTGTCGAGGGACTTCACAGCCCCACTGGGGAGAATGAGTCACCCCGGAAGGGGAGCGCAGTGCAGTCGCCCTGGCCCCTCACCCCGTGGGGCCCCTCACCCTTTGGGATCTAGGACGTGGACCCAGGAGTCCAGGCTGTGCAAGCCCCCCACCCTGCCACTGCCTGAAGCCAACTGGGAACAGCAGTGGCCCAGGTGCCGATGGCCACAGTGTGGAGGGTGGTGTGGGAGGGCAGGGGCTGTGCAGCCCCTCTGTCTGCCCAGCAGGGAAGGTGGTGGCCAGGGTCTGGCTCAGCTGGCGACCCTGTAGCAAGCACATGCTGGGGGTCTCATTGCTGGAGGAAGTGGGGAGAGCAGCACTGCTCTTTGAAAGAAGAAAAGAACAAGTAGAGACAAAAGGAAATGGTTTGGAGATGAAAGAGGATAAACAGTCCCCCACCCCACAGCACTGAGCGTGAGCCCCATGGCACTGCTCAGGCCCCCTGACACTGGCCTGCTCACACACAGAGCATGGGACATCAGCCATTAGCACTGAGAAGGGGGTTGAGCGCCGTGGCCCAGGGCTGCCTCAGTGCCAGGCAGCACTGCACCTGGGGCCAGTGCCAGCCCGGCACGACAGCTGCCACGGAGGCTGGACACAGGGCATCCCTGCTACGGTGGAGCATGACCAGTGATGTTGCCAGAGCCACTCCTGGCATCTGTGGCAGGGACAAGAAGCAAAGTCCCCATGCTGCCCACCCAGCCTGCTGGCATTGTGCTGGCATCCTGGCCCCCTCCTGCTGCCAAAACCTACCCCACTGCCACATCCAGCCGCCTGGCATTGCCACTGTAGGGTGCGGGCCCTGCTCTGCCAAACCAAAGTGACCCAGATCTCGCCACTCGTCCCATCCCATCCCATCCCACCCCACCCCATCGGCAGTAAGCACGGTGTAGGGCTCAGGCAGCACCAACGTCCCACAGCCTGCTGGTGCTGAAGCAGCTGGCCCACATCTCCCAGTGTCCAGTGCCACACTGGGTCCCCACCACCCTGGCAACTCCCTCCACCACAGCAGCAGTGATGGCAGGGTGGGTGTGCGGCTCACCTGCCCCGTGTCCTGGCGTGGCTCAGCGCTGCGGCGCGGCCCGGCTGGCGGCCCGCGAGTGGCAGGGAGGGGAAGGCAGGGTGCTGTGTGAACTTGGCCCCGCTCCCCGCTGCACTTGAGCTCAGGATCCCACCTCAAAAGGAGTCGACGCCCACACCCCGGGTCACGCACCTCCCAGCCCCGCTTCCCAGAACACACACGGCATTAACTCTTTGCGGCCGGTACTGCGTCGTGGGGCGCCAGCCCGGAACCGGGCACGGGGCATCCCCTGGCCCACTCCCACGGGAGAAAATTCCCAGCACTGCCAGGACAGGCACCCGTACCGTAAGTATGCCTTCCCCGCCACTAACATCGTCCCCAAGCCGTGTGCCCCTGCCCCCCCGTGCCGCGGCATCACACAGGCCCTCACCTTGCCGTGTGCCCCAAGGCAGGGCGCTGGGTGCTCGCCACTGGCCATGGCCAGCCCAGCCGGGCTGCGAGGGCGCCTGTGCTCGGCGGGAGCAGGGCAGGGCTTGGTGCAGCATGCTGCAGCCTGCCCGGCCAGCCCTGGAGCCACCCCCCGGTCCCATGGATTCCTGTCCTGCTCTCCCCTTGGAGCAGGTTCCTGAGATCCCATGGGGAATGTGGGAAGCAGTGATGGCCCAGCTGGACTATGCTGCCTGACCCCCTCCACTCCCTGGGCAGGGGCACTCGTGGGCTCCCCGGCCAGGCTGCACATTCACGCAATCCCCCCATAATTACACCCTCTGTGTCCCCAGCTAAACAGCAATTAGCAGCCCGGAGAGCGCGCCCCACACCCCACCACCAGCACCAGCACCCGCCCAGGCAACCCACGCCAGACCGGTCAGGGGCACCTGCACTGCGGCACCCTGGCATGGCCCGGCAGGCTCCAGTGCTGGGGCCATCTGCAGCAGGCCAGGCAGAAAGGGGAAGAGCCCCACAGCAGCCAGACAGCAAAGGGCTCGGGC